ATGTCTGAACATTTTTATTATTTTAGTCCTTAAATAAGTTATAACGCAAATTAAAATTAAAGAATCAAAGATAAAAATATTTTTCTTGTATTATATTTTTATCTTTGATTTTAATTTGCGTTATACTTATTTAAAACTAAAATAATAAAGGTGTACAGGTCTTAAATGTCCCAGCATTGGTACATTTACCTTAAATACATATTTTTGTATTAACAAAAAGAATAAGTTGTGTGATTCTGTAGAATAATACATTACAATCCACCGTCCCACAATAGTACTGAAATAACATCTTATTTTGACTTTTAAACGCTGATAGCATCTAAACGGTTGATTATTGTGAATCTTGTCCATTGAGACTTTTGATCGGCATCACATAAACTATTTATTTTCAAAATTTCAGCTAATTTCATCGAAACCTAATTTAATTATAATAAAAAATTGAAAACAAATTTATAACTTTTATCAATAAATTAAATTAAAAATCTAATATGTTGCAATACAAATATCAAGTAAAATATATTTACATTAATTACAAAAGCAAAGGACAAAATAATAGCCGCAATGCTGAATAAACAACAATATGATATTCTATTAAACAATTTACGTATAAATCATATTTTCAATTATTGTAAAAAATAATAAAATTAGACATACATTGAATGTGTGTCTGATTCTGATTGATAGAATAATGAATACTACAATGTTAGACACTATCGAATATCAAAAAAATACTTTTTTCGTTGTAACATTTTTTCAATATTGTAAATATAACAACAAATGCTTTTAACTTATATAAAGAGCATATTCTTAACTATTTTCTCACTACTGTGCGTTCGAACAATTCGATTTTGTTATAACTTCACACTTATCGTAGTCTCGAATAAAGAAAATAATTATGAAATAATCACATCTGTGAAGTGAACAGTGCGCGGTGAAAGGTTTGTCGGAATTCATTACAACGAAACGTGAAAGAGGTTAGAAACCTACGATAGTTGTACAATCAACTTAGATTACTATTTCTATCGAGTATTTAATTGTATTTCAATAGCGACTTTACTTACAAGCCACAAATAACGCAGATAACTTCGCGAGCAGTGAATATTTGATAGATCTTGAACAATTCCAAGAATGACACGATGTACATCATCCGCTTACACTGCCATAAAGATTGCTCGAGATTACTCTTCTTGATGTGCCTTGATGTGTGAAAATATTGCCACAATACCGGAACAAAATACAACAAAGATGTTTCGATCTTCTATTAATAAAAGCGACATTACAGTATTTCAATTCCGGCAGCAAATGTAATCATCATGAGAAAACGAAAGATACAATAATAAATGATAAATTTAATTTTATTCAAACCATATATATTTAAAAAATGTCAGATTTTACGCTCTCAAGTTGGCTACGGTCGCCATTGTATCGTATGTGACGATTGTGACGTCACGAGAAACGTCACATCGTACGATCATTTATACGTGGAGCCGGTTAAAACTAGAGACGTGCGATTTACAAAATTGTACATCACGATTGCGATCTTTCTTAAAAATCGCAGTATCACGATATATCGCATCATGATATTTATCGTGAATATAATTTTGAATTTTGCTTTGTATAGAATTTTACAGAATATTTTACTATACAAAATATATTAAATAATTATAATAATTAATATAACACTCAAAATTATTAAATTAAGTATATCTCGCTGTAAATAAAAACTTCCATAATGATATTTTCTTAGTTTAACGCTTTAACTACTTACTACCACATTCTATAAAATTTTCACGAATAAATAAAAAGGAACAAATTTCGAATAAATTAATTAAATCAAATGTAACATTAAAAATAAGCATTTAATAATCGGAACTAATTAATGTGCATTTATAGCATTTAAATCACATGAGGTAAAGATAACTTTTATTTTATCATTTTTTTATAAATAATGAATACTTCATTACAAGTGTGATTTCGAGCTGCATTTGCGATTTTAAATAGCATGCAACATGTTATTAAAAATTCAACTACATATCATATTATGATGCAAGAAAAAACGTTGGTAATAATATATCGCAAAAAATCGCATATAATTTAAAACCACATATTCCAAGTTGTCTCTTAAAGTTAAATCACAATAAAAAAAAAAAAATATATATATATATATAGAAAATAAGCAATAAAAAATAAATATCTAAAAGATAAGAATCTAACCTATAAATCAATATTAGAGACGATAATTACGAATATAAATATAATCGTATGTGCTTACAACATAAAATAAGTAAAAGGAAATAAATATTAAATTAATAATAAACATGTACAATTTTTTGTTCACAATATTAAAGCAAAGCATATATTTTTCCCATATCTCGCTATAAATAAAAAATAAAAATTTCCATAATGATTTCAAGATTATTTTCTTAGTTTGATTTTCTTGGTTTTTTTTTATATTTATAGTTATCAGGCAGATCATCGAACTGATATTAATTTGTGAGGCATTTGGATTTCGCTTATAATCAAAATATGTATCAATTAATTGAATTACGTGAAGTGGTATTTTAGCTTTAGCATATATTTTAATATAATTTACTATTGTATGTTTTCGTTGTATAAGCAAATGTAATAATATAATTACAAATATTTACAAATAAGTTACAAAATAATATTAAATCGATGATCTGTCTAATGGTAAAAAGTCATATTTAATGAGTAAATATACATATACATGTATACTACATACATACATACGCATATATATATATATATATATATACACGCACACATACATACATATATGTATATATATATATATATATATATATATATTTTTTATACGTATATAATATAATACGTATATAATATAATATATAATATGTATATAATATAAAAATATATTATTTTTACTTATTTTACTTTTTACATTAAATAACTATATTATAATTATATGTATATGTTACAGAATAAAAGGAATGTATTTTGATTTTTACAAATCTTCTGTTTTTAGAAATAACACTTTATTCTTTTTGTTAATATTATTTTCACAATCTTGGTCATTTAAAATATTTTTTCACATTTTCTTAGTACGTATTGTGTTTTACCGTATTTTTTTATATTGCTTACAGGCCTGTATAATAGCATATACAATATCAATGCTATTTCCCTATATGCAGTACATTTAAAATCTTATACCATGATATAACATAAGACTATACTTTATGTTTTAATTTGACGATAGTATCGTGCACGCTCTCTATTACACTATATATATACGGACGTTCCATTGGATTGACTTTTAACATCATCAAAATTAAATTTTGCATATCCTGGAAAAGAAACATACAATTTATCTATGGAAAAAAATATACCGCACTATAATAAAAGCCTGTACATGAAGAGAGGTACAATTTTATTGAAAAAGCAAACTAACGTATGATCTTGTGTGTATGTGTGTATGTGTGTGTAGATGTGTGTGTGTGTGTGTGTGTGTGTGTGTGTGTGGGCGCGCGCGCGTATACGGGTGTATCAAACGTATCACCCGTTAATGGAAGATTCCTGAGATTATTTGGAGACGAAAATCCTAATGCCAAAATGTCGAGGCTATCAAGTTGTCATCCCGATATTCATCGGTCTTGTGAACAATGTACAAAGAAATAAAGTGAATAATAATTTCAAATATTTCTATCGAGTTGAGTAAATTGTGGAAGAGCCGTTTTGATATGCGACGTCTCTGAGTACGCAAAATTTCGACAAGCACATTAGTGAACTTTAAACCTTTCCCGTTCAAACTGCTGTAGCAGCCTGATTAAGATATTAATAGAAGAGAAATATGTTTTTTGTTTGAGAATGTGACAATGAATAAATGTTTAATGAAATAATTTAAAATAGAAAACAAAATAGAATTATAAATATTTAAATTTTATGAGAAATACTTGATTGTTTAATTCATATATTGCTACTCAAATTTTAATATAAAAAATGTTTAGTCAGTGGACACACTTAAAAGAAGCGTAATATATAACAGATTACCTCATTATAAGGGGCATCTTCTGGAAATGTTATATGTGCGCTAATCACAGCAAGTGCTACGCTGTCGCCTCGTTCATAAACAGTATCAAAAGGAGATTTAAAATAACATAATGCATACAGTATACATCCCATCGACTAAAAAAGACATTAAATTCAGAATACATGTTATTTTGAATTAAGGCAAGCGTTAAAGCACTGTAACTCTAACCCAAATGTCTGTTCGTTCGTCAACCATACAATAACTCTCAACGTTGAATAATTCTGGAGCTCTATATGGCATGGAACATCTTTCAGCTGCTAAGTCTTGTAAAGTCCGTGCAGCTTGAGTACCACATACTTGAACTCTGGCAGTTGATACAGAACCTAAACCATTGTCTTATATTTAATGACAAAAATTCATATATACATTTGTTAAATACTAATATAATAAAATTCAATATACCCAAATCCATAATAATAGGTATTCCATCATCGCTAAGTACTATATTTGCAGTTTTTAAATCTCTGTGAGCAAGAGGTTCTGGTTTAGCCTCATGAAATGCTTTTACACCTTCACAGATCTGTAAAAAAATGCTCAGGATATCTGTAGGACTTATGTAATTACAATTCTTTGCTCGTTGTTCTAAATCATTTGCTAAAGTTCCTTTCTAAAATTACAATAGTTAATTAATTGGTTTATTAGAAAACATATATATATATATATATATATGTATATATGTATATAGATATATATAGATAACATTTAAAACATCATACTTTTGTTAAGAAACCATGTCAACTTACATGATAATATGGTAAAACAATTAACATTTCGCTCGTTGTATTCACGATTAGGTCTGCTGTACCTTTGCAAGTCGAATCTATACATTCTATAACATTTGGATGCTTTATCAATTTATAATATTCAACCTCTTTTGCTGCTAATTGCTGATCTTCTGGTCCATGACAAGTAATTTTCTTAATAGCATACTTTTTATGTGTAATGATTTCTTCAACCAAAAGTACTGTGCTAAATCCACTAAAAATTTAGTGTAAAATTTATTCATACTGTCAGTCATCCCACTTTTTAAGGATATTAATTATTCTTATAAAAGTAATGACATACTATAAATAATACTATCTTTTTGCATATGTTTTAAGAAAATCTCTTTTCTTGTGTTTAATTTGTTGTTGAATAAATTTAGATTATATACAGGTATCCCGTTTCTGGAAAGTTTACTTTACATCACTTTACTTTTAAGTGGCATAAAGACCTACATTGGTACCTGTTTATACTAATTAAAGAAAATCCGAAGATTTACGAAACAAATATCTTTCCCATATAAATTAATGACGATTGTTTCTTCGCTTTACGCAATTTCGGTTTATGAATGGTTTCATAGGAACGCTCTACTTTCGGATAGCAGAGGAAACCGTAATTGTTTAGAAATAATTTTTATAGGAATACTACTTTCTTATTGGAATACTATTACATGAGGTACATTATGTATGCAATAAATTGTACGATTATCAATAAATATAATTATAAGCGAAAAATTATATTAATTATGAAAAATTGTTTGATAAAACTTGCCCATCTCCGAGGTGTTCGCAGACCTTATATTTCCTCGAGTTTACCGTAATGATCTCTTTAGTGCATATACAACCCATTCTAAAAATTATATTTAAACCTAAGCTATTCATTCTCGTTGTTTATTATCATTATAATAAAAACGAAAAGAATTTTACGAGAATTATCTCGCTGCTTTTACTACTAAAGTAGGCTGCGTTCCAAAATTCATTCTCGATAACTATAGGGTCTGTTTTCTATTGCCGAACTGGCTGCACTAGTTCAGAGTTTATAGGTTTGTTCGCGTCGCATGCCCCACCATGCTCCTAATCACTCCAACGCACTCCAAAAACTCATCTGGTCCAATCGCCACCTTTTATCCGTGATCCAAGTGCTCTTGGTGTTTATTGGAGTAATGCGACGCGAATAATGTCCTAGTGCAGCCAGTTCAGCTTAAAAAACAGACCCAAAATCGCCAAAATCTAATGGGTGCTCTTCATGTAGCGACTTAAGTCGACACTAGAGACCTAAGAAATCAGTCGACACAAGCGTCATTGGCTGCGTTCAGGAAACACAGTTGAGTGAGCCCTCATTGGCCTGGTTTACACCGATCTCTTGATACGCGTATCAAATATTCGTATGTATTTGACCGGAAATGAATGTCCGGGAAAGAATCTACCATATGAAATCGTTTATATTTCGTATGAAGACTTTTGAAGTGCAATTGAAAAGGTTTGTGAGTCATTCGTTTAATTGTAATTAATTAATTATTTTTACACCATGCATTTAGCCGAAATAGATAAATTAATAAAAGTTTTTATACGGAATTGTTTGTATTCTGTTTGAAGAGTTATGAAGTGTGATTATAGGTTTGTGAGTCACCCAGATAATTTTAACTCTTAGCTTACTTACTTATTTTTACTTACTATTATTTATTATTTATTATTATTATTATATATAATTATACTACTATATACATACTAGCTTAACTTAAATATTTATAAACTCGGTAATTAGCCGAAATATAGATTTTTAGTTATTCATGTTAAAAGAAGAAGGCGCTAGTGTTCCCGAAGGTCCGTCTGCAATCAGAATTAATATGAACGTTTTAAAAATTATTTTATACTGAAATAAATAAATATACAGGCTAATAAGCCTGTAGCTATAAGCGATAGTTGCTAATTAAGTTTGTCACTCATATTTCCATCTTGCAGAAGATCTCCGTAACGAGATCAAAGATGTACACCAGCTGTGCAGGGTGAAGAGGTTATCTCAAACGCCCTTAATTGGGCCACAGCCCAATTAAGAGCGACTCAAATGTCATTACCGCTGAGAAGTACTTCTTGCCATTTGAGTCAGCATGTCAGAGCTAGTCACTACGGATTGTGATGACACAGCACTGGACTGCCTGCAGAAGTTAATCGCATATAGCCATCTCACTGGCAATGTGCCTGATTCAACGGAGCCTAACAAGCTGCTGATTGTGCGCATTGTCGAGACAATTTGCGGTTGCTTCACCGGTCCACAGACCGATGAGAGTGTGCAGCTGCAGATTATTAAAGCTCTGTTGACTGTAATGACAAGCCAGCATGTGGAGGTATACGAGGGTACTGTTAACAATTTGTACTGTTTACAACGTTTACTTGTCGTCGCGCAACCTGGTGAATCAAACAACAGCCTGTGCGACTCACGCAGATGATCAACGTAATCTTCGCGCGAATAGAGACTCAGGCGGAGGAAGAGAACGTGAGGCTTGATGGGGAGCGTCAGCAGGAGGGTTCTGTCATAGCAAACGGCAAAACTGAAGCCCTGAAGCTGAGCTAAGTCTTAGTTAGCTAAGTCTAACTAGCTCATCTTCATGAAACTTTACGTTGCATGTGCGTCTATTTAATGACGATGGATGTAGAAAGCTCTTTAAATCACTTCGAGAGGATTATCAAAAGCGATCTTCTTATATCGCATATTTAATCAGATGTCGTCAGGGATTGCTGTCGACATTAGCTCACTTAGATAGGTACTGTTTATATATAAATATCATCTTTGTGTGTAATGTATAAGTAAATGTAAGATGTTAACCGTTTAATAATAATATTTTTCAGATTATGCGTGCGAGTTAAGTGCGATCGGGATGCTATCAATAATCATCTTGTATCCGTTTGTGTGAGGGTATTTTTGGAAAAAAAGAAGGCTTTCCTCCTGCGTTTCTGCGAAGAGTTTAAAAAGCTTACGCTAGCTGACGAGAAACAGGATCTCGTGGATAATTTTCTAGGGAAAGTCCACGTGGAAATGGACCACGATCCGATTTGGCAATGTACATGAATATAATTATTTATCTCGCAATTGATCTTAGCGGAGTGCTCAGAGACGTCTGAACTTACTTCTTACTTTCAGCGGCAAGCGCCAACTAGTTAGATTTGGCGAGAGTCGTGGTGGAAAGAACCGTCATGGCACGGGTATACCACAATGCGCTCTATCTAAATGAAGATGGAGATGTATATAGGGACCAGCTTTTTCACATCAATAAGTTGGTAAAGGTCGTAACTCCAAATCACAGGGACCTACGCATTTCAAAAACGTTTATCATTACGAATGCCCCTGGTCATGGGCGCAGGCTGAATTGGCTGTGATATCGGCGTATAAGACTCCTAGGGATAAGTTGCAGTGTGTATTTCGTTGCGCGACTACCATGAATCTCTTCTCCATGGCGTCGGAAAGAGGCATACCTGCTGCCGACGATCTAACTCCCGTGCTGGTCTATGTCATAATCAAGGTATGCGATTGAAAAGAGAATTGTGATTTTAGCAAAAAGAGTGATTGTTAACGTGTGCTTAATTTCAGACTAATCCGCCGTCGTTGTATCGACTGTTCAATATGTAGACAGCTTTTACGGGAATCGATTGGAGGGAGAGGAACAATATTGGTGGACGCAGTTCTGCGTCGCGATCGAGTTAAGACAATGGATTAACAGTTTCTCAAGAGTATCACGATAAATAAGATTAGATTCGATGCTGGTGATAATGTAGAAATATATCATAATCACAATTTGACGATTTCATAAAAAAGAAGACCAATATCTTGTGTAAAGCTAGCTGAACAGTTTTATGCTTCCAATATTAATTAAAATTCTTAAATAGTCTAACTGTTAGTTCTTTCGCACGTTATTATGTAACATTAGCAAAGACTGAATCAGATTATACGTAAAGTGTGGCTTTATCTTTATTTGTAACTCTATTGTACAATTTCACATGACATCGAAAAAAAAGAAACGTTTAGATATTCTATAATTTATGTACAATACAGAACTTATAGAGAATTGATAACCATTTAGCAGGATAAACTGTGTTGGCGTACTCTTTCTACATGCGCATCTTCCTCAAGAGCCGAGACTCGAACCAGATCCGTGAAAAATATCGCCAATTTCGTAGAGCTTTTGTACAGTTTTACTCTAGGAATATCGCGAGAGAAAGAAAGACTTCGGAGATTTTTATCTGAATCGATCGACATAAAGAGAGAGCATAGTAAAGAAGCTATTAGCTTTCGAGAATTTGAACGCATAATAGTTTGTTATAATACTATGAGCGAATTACTTTACGTCACTCTGTCAAGTTTTAATATTAAATTACTAATAATATATCGATATCGGTAGTTTAATAATAATACATTTAAAAGCGCTCAATTTAAAAGTAGGGCAATTCTAATAAACGACTGTAAAAAAAATTCAAGGTGAAACGCAATGGACAATCCGGTTGCTCTGACATGCTAACTTAAATGGCAAAAAGTACTTCTCAGCGGTAATGACATTTGAGTCTCTTTTAATGGGTTGTGGCAGGGCGTTTGAGATAACCTGCTCTTCACCCTGCACAGAGCTGGTACATCTTTACAAACTTAATTAGCAACTATCGCTTATAGCTACAGGCTTATTAGCCTGTATATTTATTTATTTCAGTATAAAATAATTTTTAAAACTTTATATTAATTCTGATTGCAGACGGACCTTCGGGAACACTAGCGCCTTCTTCTTTTAACATGAATAACGAATAATCTATATTTCGGCTAATTACCGAGTTTATAAATATTTAATTATAATTATCTGGGTGACTCACAAACCTTTTTAATCACACTTCATAACTCTTCATACAAAATACAAACGATTCCGTATAAAAACTTATTAATTTATCTATTTCGGCTATATAAATGGTGTAAAAATAATTAATTAATTACAATTAAACGAATGACTCACAAACCTTTTCAATTGCACTTCAAAAGTCTTCATACGAAATACAAACGATTTCATATGGTAGATTCTTTCCCGGACATTCATTTCCGGTCAAATACATACGAATGTATCAAATAGTATGTACATTTAAACTGATCAGACAATAATAGTTAAACTAATTTACTAGTTATTTACTATTTAATACGCGTATCAAGAGATCGATGTAAAACTAGGCCTATGATTGATTCTTAAGGCTCAGTCACAATGAGAAAAATAAAAAGTAAGATAAAGGAATAAGGAATAAAGGAATGTCGCATCTCACTTCAGTACATACACGTACATTAAAGTGAGATGCAACATGCCTTATTCCTTATTCCTTTATCTTATTTCTTGGCTGGTATTCATAGTCGGTTCTTATATTTAAGATCGTCTTAAGTACAATCTTAAGATGTCATTAACCAATCACAAAGCCGTATTAGCATCTTAAGACATTACTTAAGCCGGTCTAAAATAAGAACCGACTATGGCCTAGTTTACACCGTTCACTTGATACGCGTATTAAATAGTAAATAACTAGTAAATAAGTCTGATTATTGGCTGATCAGTTCAAATATACTATATGATACGCGTATCAAGAGATCGGTATAAACTAGGCCTATGAATACCGGCAGTGATACCGGCCCTTATTTTTCTCATTGTGACTGAGCCCTTAAAGGTGGAAGCACATAAAATTGCAGGAGCCAGAGCAGAAAGCAGAAGCCATATGCGCATGCGCTATGGTATCCGTAGAGCTCTAACAGATACCATAGCGCATGCGCATATGGCTTCTGCATTCTGCTTATGGCTCCTGCAATTTTATGTGCTTCCACCTTAAGCCCCTTGCACAATGCTAGGCAATAGGCAATAGGAACAGGGAATAGAAATCAGAAATCATGTGTAAATGCAGAATAAACAGTGACACAGGCAATAGACACAGAGTTATTTCCGTCACGTTGAAAATTCTGTGCCTATTGCCTGTTGCCATCGACATATAGTATGGACTGCGCACAGGTATAGAAAAATATGACCGGCGACTCACACCGGTGGAAGAAAAGAAATAGCGACTGGTAGAGGTCAAGCTGTCTTTTTCTATCCAGTGCGTACAGACAAAGAGGGAACGAGGTAGAGGTCAACTCTACCGGACACTTTTTGAAGGCTTTCATATATAGGGATCGCGTAGTCCATACTCGACCGCTGAGTGAACGTGTTGAGACTTTAGGT